TTGAAATTAGATAAGAACTGAAAAATTCTGCCAATATCTACCATCTTTCTCTTAGACGATGTAATTGTGTTGTTTCACTAGCCTTCGAGTAACTATTAATTAAACCAATTTGTAATTAAAGTTTCCAAGCGATATAGTAGCGGAGGAAACGGCCAGAGGAGATAAATGACACGAAGATTGCTTCAACGTTTCTATGTACGATGCTTTACGATGTTAATTAACTGGTGAAAATTCCCTTCGAATTAATTCTGCCCTCTTCCTATACGTATCATATACTACAATGTTCTATTTGTCATTTTTAAACTGTTTCGCGTACCTTTGCCGAGAGCACGATCTATAAAATGGAAGTAAATTAATTTCGTACAGTGGTTTATAGACGCTGAGATAACACGGCGAACGTTCTTCGTTTAATTTAGAAATATTGTTTACCGGATACTAATTTACAATATAAAAATGATCAATATTGAAATATTCTTTGCCTGAATAATTAAAGGATGCTTGTGGAAAGCACACGTTTTTAAATTACTCGTTTCTAGTCACAGAGCGACATCGGAATGAAACAAGCGAATAAAAATGTGAGTCTTTCCTCGTTGCTTGTGAACTTCGTTCGGTTTCAATTTCTACAGTTTATTGATGGTTTTCTGGAATATAAACTGGCTATCGTAAGTATATAGAAGTTAAGTATTTCATGCGAACAGTTGCTGAATAATAAAACTGTTTTGGAAGCTGCTTCGACTGCAAAGTGCTTGCTTTGGAGAAAGAATTTCGAAAATATTTTGTCAAACTCCGCTTTCAGCAGATCTTGTGATCTTGAAATTCCTTTGGAATGTCAATTCGTCTACTTTCGATTCAGCTTTTTCTTTCGATGATACGAAAGTATAAAAAAAAAAAACATATCGATAGCTATGTCATCTTCTTTCTTGCTCCAAACGAAGAATCTTTTATCGTGGACCTTCGATACAACGGCTTATCTTTTTAGAAAAATATCTGATTCTACTTTCGTTTCTTCGATAGCCAGAATATTTGATGAAATGACAAAATGCTTCTCGTTGCTATAAATATTTTTAATCTTTACTTGTTCGAAAGCAAAATCACAGCTACATAAGGTGTGTGTTTCCGATATTCATTCATAATATAATAATAATAATAATAATAATAATAATAATAGAGAATATTAATTAATAATTAATAATAATTAATAATAATAGATAAAATTATATAATAGCTTTCTTTTCTCTTACATCCATACAGCAGGTATTTTAATACTAATGACCGTACGATAAATTTTCCTTTCTCTCAATTTTCCACAAACAATAGTACGTTTTTTTTCTTTCTACTGGTATACATATATCACTCTTTTACACAATTTCTCCCCCTCACACACGCGCACACAAACACACACGCACGCATAAACATACCCATACATACTTCCATCGTTACTTAGTATTTTTTCTCCATCGTCATCGATAATCTTCACAATAATATATATTTCTATTTATATATATATATATATTTATATATATATATAATATAGGCTCGATAGTTATAAGGCAACCTCAGTTCATCGTCGCTACATCAAACATACACTCTCTCTCTCTTTCGTTCTCTCTCTCTCTCTCTCTCTCTCTTTCTCTCTCTCTTTATTTCTTTCCAAGTCTCTCGCGATGATCCATCGAGGTTGGTTCACCCTCTGAACGCTCGATCCTCTCGCGATCTCGTCGACTTCGGTCCTCGCCAGACCACAAAACACGCTCGTATCGCGATTTACAATAAATATTTTACAGCTTCGGTTCAGGTTCTTCGTCGTTCTTCGCGCGTTTCTATCGGGCGCGAAAGAGGAATTGAAAGCGACAGGCGCTCGAGAGAGAGACTCTACATCGTTTATGGCACTCGTTTAATAATGGCTCGGCTCTCAAGCAGCTTATCCACGATCCTCCGCTTCTCCTCGAAGCTTCGACACGTACAATTCGTGAGATCTCTCGCGAATAGTTTGAACAATCTCGCGATTACCGAGATAAAACAGCGAGAGATCGAGGTCGCGAAGTTTGGCGCGATTTTTGCTCGATCGCGAGAGGACGGGGACCGTTTTATGACTAATCGACTTCGTTGACACGCGTAACCTTGCTAGTGGAATGATATACTAGTAGAGACTAATAGGGGAAAAGATTGGGGTTGAGTTTGGGAAGGCTCGTCCTGGATCGCTGAGCACCCGCTTTTTGTTCTTGAATATCGTGAAAGTTTGATGGTTGATACAAATTATTGAGAATAATAAACGTGGGAGAATCGTTGCTGTAACAATGTAAGAATTTTCAAAATTCTCCTGATTGTTCTTGGAATTCGACGTTCCATATAAATTATTAAGAATATCGTTAAAACGTATAGAAGAATTTTTAGGATTCTCTTCGTACTTCTTAAAATTTCATTTTTAACACGAACTACGGCGTATGAATTGTTAAAATACGCGAGAGAAGCAGTTTTCTGTAGCAGTACAAGGTTTTAAAAAAGCCTGCTCGAATTCTTTTGTGAACGAACGATTGTCTTTTATGATAGAACCTTTCGAATGTTAGGAATTTTCAATCGCTTGAATTGTAAAAGTGTGGAATTGAAAAATCTTCAAACGAAATTTACAAAAAGCGGGTCTTCAAAATGACGAGCTAAATTCTCGTCTTCGTGACTCTCGACTCACGACACGTGGAAAAAAGTGTCTAAAAAACGAAGAATCCTTATCAGTCGCAAAGTTTCTAACTTCTTTAATCGCATATACAAGCATCTAAAATTTCTATTGGTGTATAAAATTCCAAACAAACTAATATTATCTCCGATATTGTTTATAAAATAATGACAGGATAATTCTTGGCGACTGAGTTTTCATTTTCTTTCTTTCTTTTCTTTTTTTTTTTTTTGTTTTTCTTGTATTTCGACGCGCTTCTTTAAGGCACTAACTTCCTACGATCGTGTTTCACATCGTTGCAGTGTGTCTTTTTTTTCTTATTCTTTTCATTATCGTTCGTATTAAAAGAATTTGTGTAAATAATCGGTCATTGTTGCTAAGGCACGGTCCTACAAGTTCGGGGAAACTCTAAAGGCACCCTAGCGCGTCATCATCCAACGCTCGCACGCTTACATTTCATCCCGGTGGGATTATGCACACTCTAAAAGCTACATAGTTGATCGTATTCCTCGAGAAAATACGCAATTCACTGTCTTCTTTAGGTCCGTCGTGTTACTCGTCGATCGTCTTTTTTTTTTAACAGGGGAGGAAGCTCCAACGATACGATAAATAAAGTGGAAAATTTGCATAGGAATTGTTAAAATTGGTATCCTATAGGATATTAAAGAGAATAATAAAATTATAAAATATTAATTTTTTTAATTAATAGATAAACGCATACTGTGATGTTTGGCAACTTTAAAAGGATAAACTTTTAGAGAGACGAAGCTTCTTTAATTGATATTTCGGAAAATGGAAAAGCTCTTTCTACTCAAATTTGCTGCATACGATCGCTCCGATATTGAGACGAATGAAAATATTTTTCCAGTAGAAATCCTACTTCTTTACCAAATTAATGATATCGTAACATTGCTGAGTATCCCCTGGGAACAGGAACGCGAGAATTCCTATCGTTTCCGATACGCACCGCATCTAAAACGCACACCAGCCGATCTTCTATTTCGAGCATTCGCATTTTAAAGTATACCTTTCGTACATGCTTCTCCTTTAAAACTCCTTTAAAATTACAACAAGCAACGGTTGCCTGAAAAGCGAACAAGAGTCACTGAATCATCCTTGATCTGTGTTCGCCCTGTCTCGTCTTGGCTGGCAGTCTTTTTGTTAACTCTCAGTTTTCTTGCAGTTTTTTCTTTTTTTTTATTACTTTATATCCTTTTTTTATCAATACTGTTCGTAATACGATTAATGAGAAACGCATACCCTCCTAGTCGTGGCACGTGTCCCGAGAAAGCGTATAATCTTTAGTACGAGTCGCTACCATTTCGGCTATGCAAGTTCCTTTGTCGACATAAAAGAGGAACTAAGGAAACAACTGTGAGTTCTTATTAAAAGAAAAAAGAAAAAAAAGGAAAACTGTGAACAATCGTAGAAAAATCATTGCATCATTGACGAACGCTCTCTTTGCTATATGTTTTCATGTTACCAATTACCGTGAATTTTTGGAAAATTCTTCGGCATTAATTAGCAACGATCATCAATGACGCGATGGACTAGACACAATGTTCTTGTCTTTTTAACTCGCCTTTCTTGCCGGTGATCATTTACATAGAAAAACAACAGTCTGAACTATATAATCCTGGACTCGAGTTTCAGTAAATTTCATTAATAAGTTCTCTGCAAAGAGATTCGAGCTTTTTCTCTCTCGCGTATCAGTTCTTTACATATATTAACTATCTATATTCTAGGAGCTAAATCGTCGTGACGACTAATTTCGCGGAGGGTACGCGAGCGATACTAGAAAAAAAAAAAAAAAAAAAAAAAATCGGGAAAA